CTGACTACTGCATACTGGGAAAACCACACAAGAGCTGCAATTTTGGAGATGCTCTAACAATCACAATTTGGTCCTTGTCAAAGTTGCTCAGATCCTTACACTTGCCCCTCTTTGTCAGGATTGGTGCTCGTCTGGCCCTGTGCTATGTGTTGTGTCCCCATTTGGCCAGCAGATGTCACTGGCCATCCTGCTCCCTCCCGCCTATTAGCCAGTAGTCACCTAGTGTGTTTGCCTGTTCCCCAGGCCGCCACGTGGCTTAATGAGCTATGCGGTTGGCCACCATTCCCGACTCCCCTTTTATGGTTGTGGGTTTGTGGTTGGGCAGATGCCAGTCTCCACTGCTTATTATTTAATGTTTGTCGGTTTAACGTTTATATAGGCATTCCAGTTATAGTTCATTGTCTTGCTCCTTGTGTCTAATCATTCAATTATTCTAGTTTTGGTTTTCTTTAGCATTTTGTCCTTTTTATCTGTTAATTGACCTCTCTCTGCCTGTTAATTGTAACCACCCCACCTGTTCCTTGTTGTCATGTGCGCTTCCATCTTCAACAAGTTTCTGGCTCTGTCTGTGGTCCCCACATGCTTCAAAAGACCTACCCTCATTCCTGAATGATTTCTGGCCTGTTGCACTAACATCGGTAATCATGAAGGTGTTTGAGAGACACATTGAGGATTTCATCACGTCCTCCATTTCCACCTCTCAGACCCACTCCAGTTTGCCTAGCGTCCCAACAGATCAACAGATGATTCCATCAAACACGTCCTGCAATCCACCCTCAGCCACGTGGACACGAAACATGGGAACTATATGGGGCTCATTGACTATAGTTCAGCTTTCAGTACTATAGTCCCCCATAGACTGTTCATCGAGCTGAGGGACCTGGGACTGACACCCGTCTGTATGCCTGGGTTTTCAACTTCCTCACAGGCAGACCAACTGAATGTCAGCAAAACCAAGGAGCTGGTAGTTGACTTCAGCAAGAGACAGCAGCAGTCCTACACCCTCCTCAACATCAATGGGACCGCAGTGGAGAGGGTGAGTAGTTTCAAATATCTGGGCATTCACATCTCCTGACATGGACTATACATACATAAGCCCTGTCCAGAAAAGCAAGACAGCGTCTCTACCACCTGAGACAGCTGAGGAAGTTTTGGGTCTCCCTAGTGATTCAAAGGACTTTCTACTCTGGTGCTGTGGAAAGCATCTTGATCCAGAGTGTCACCTTCTAGTTTGGTAACAGCTGTGTCAAGTTCTTCAGAAAATGATCTGGGTGGTGGAACGCTGCACCAGATCAGAGCTACAGCATCTGCAAGACATTCACACCAGGTGATGCAGGACCAGAGCAACCAGGATTGTCAAAGACCCATCTCACCCCAGGAACTGCCTGTTCAATCTGCTGGGATCAGGCAAATGCTTCAGGAGTATTATGGCAAAAACAGAGAGGCTCAGGACGAGCTTCTATCCTCAGGCCATAAGACTCCTAAATCAAGACATGCCACCACAGCTTCTTAACTGTTCATAATAAGGTCCATTTACATCAGCAGCAACTAGCACACTGCACTTTACAACACAAATGAACATTCTATCTATTCTAATATATTGCACATTGTACAGATATTGCCTATAATTGCAATGCTATTCGGATATATTTTTTCTATATATTTTCATTATTTTTAGTCTTACTCTTTTATTATTTATCTTTAATTTAATTTGTTAAACCTTATTGCACAACCTCAGGACCAAATCAGGGTACATTTCACTACACGTTATGCTTGTATTATTTTGTATGTGACAAATAAGGAATCTTGAATCAGTTGATTTATTATGGTTCTCATCTGTCCCCCTGTCTAGGCTTGTTAGTTGTGTATTTAATTAAGGACCCCTGTACTTGTTCTGTTCCTTGTTGGTTCATAGTGGTTGTTTCCCTGTGTAGTGATGTGTTTGTAGGCTGTCATGGCAGTCAATCCCTGTTGTTGTTTTCATGTGTTCATCCTTGCCTTTTGTATTGGGGTTCCCGGTGTTGCTCCCTGACTTAATTTCTATTTTTCCAGTTTTCGTTTGACCGCTCATGGTCCTTTTATTTTATGTTTTTTTTTCTTTCTATTTGTTTAGTTAAATAAACCCTGATTTACTGAAGCCACCACATCGATCGTCCTTCCCCTGTCATGCCACGTCATCACAATATCTCCTGCTTCCAGCACATCAAATTCAAGTAACTGACTGATCATGTGCCTAATATATTATGCCATTAACAAGATAATGCAACACTAAACTGACAGTCAGAAGCAGCATGGGATGGAATAAAGGGAGAATAAATAAGTAAATAGAATGGGAATATAAGTAAACAAGCGGGTGGTGCTGGAAAGAGTTATAGGATCACAGCTGACTGAAGTGCCAAGTGGTATATTGTTATATTGTTGACATACGTGCGGCAGGTATCCCCCAAGACCACACCCCTATGCTGCACCTCTCCAGGGCGGGGGCTCATTAAGCCAGCCCCGCACACTATCACCAGGAGACCTTTAGCTCCTGCAGCCTCCTGTGAGAGTAGAGGGGGAGACGCCTGCGCGCTTGGCTGAGCTTTTGCATGTGCCCAGAAAACCTTTGTTTTGTTTCTATCAGAAGTCTTATGTTGTTTGTATTTTTTTAAGTTTAAAGAGCCAATTTGGCTTTCCCACAAGCCTGGTGTGCCTTGGTGTGAGGAAATGCATAAATGCACAAATGTTTGGCATGAAATAAGTGATGTATAACCAAAAATTACTGTATTATCCATCTTTACTATATTCAATATTCCTTAATTGGTGTGTGGTTCTACGTATGGGGTGGCTCTGTTTTTGTGACTGGAAGGTTGGGGGGGGGCACAGTCTCTTGGGGATTCGACTTGCTGGCCTACACTGCTCCAAAAGCTCCAAAATTACGAAAAAAGGAACCATTTATTTGTGCTGAAGTACATCTTTCTCCAAAAGCTGCACTAAGGGAGCTGGCTGGTGTGATGGAAAATATGCTTGCCAACAAACAGGATGTGCACTTATTGCTGATTTTTTTTTTGCGTGTTTGGATAAACACTTTCTTCATCCTACCATTCTGCTCCTCTACCTGTCTTACATCCTTCAAAAGTGGCAACAGCAGGATGGGAAAACCAGCTGAAGAACTATTTTTTCCATCACTACAGTGAGATACAATGCAATTCATTTTAAGTGGCTTTAAAATGCTAAGATTTGGACACAGACTCCAATTTGCATAGTTGTGGCAGGACAGGGATTCGTGCTCATTCATCATTTCAGCATCTTTGAACGAGCGCACTTAAATCTTACCGCTGCCTGTGGTTTTCTTGACTGGATGGCAGGAAGCGACATCTGGATTCCTTTACTCCGGAAATTTCATCCCAGGCTGGTTTGTCCAGTTAAGGATAATTTACTGTGTATTAGCCACCATTCACTATGTGCCGAAGAATTCTGTATGTAAATATTTACAGCTTGGAAGACGCGTTAATGAAAGCTATGCTCATTTCTTTATCTCCATAGGTGCTCTCTACATCCTCCTTGCCAGGCACACATACCAGAAGGAAAACGGGAATGGTGTGTGGTTCAACAGGTTATGCGACTGTATCTCTGCTCCAAAGGTTGCCAGTTTGAATTCCAGAACCAACCAAGTAGGTTTAACATTTAGCCTTTAAACAAGACCCTTAACCCCACTGTCTGACCCACCCCTCTCAATTATATGTCACTTTAGATAAAAGCATCTAGTAAATAAACCAACAGGAAAGTGAAGGGTGTATATTTTAGGTTTAGTGGAAGGTGTCATCTTGAAAGTTCAGAATGTCTTCATTTACATGCGGAAGAGTAAAGTTGAGGCAGAAGGGTCTCTGCCAACATCTGCTAGAAACTGATGCCTGTGAATCATTAACCCAGTTCAGAAATGCCATCCTGTTTCCTGCGATGTAGCATCAAATAATGCACCACTGTTCACGATGATACTACACAACAGTGGTTGACCACATGGACGCATTATCTAAAAGTTATAGGTTCGAGTCCAAGAAAGCATGCTTCTCTAGTATCCTACTGCAAAGTGCATCAGCTGAAGTTGACCAATAAAAGAACCCTCCATCTCAATAAGTAGGTTTCATTGCATAAAATTTTCAGAAAAGCTACTTAAAATGTAAACAGTACACTGAGTGTGATTCAAAGGACTTTCTACTCTGGTGAGGGTGAAAAGGCCTGGAAAATCTGGAAGACATAGTGAGATAAGCTCAGACTTATCCTGCTTCTTGGTTTTAAAAAACACTCACAGAGCTCCCTTGGCTGGCAGGAGTTAACGATAAACCTGATTTTCCAGGTCAGGCAGAGAAGAGATGCCTACTTGGAGACCAGGGGAATTTGCTCTGTAAGCAGATGTGAGACCCCCATTTCAGCAGGTCGTTTACGGAGAGACACCCTCCACTCCACATCTGAATATTCAACAACTTGGATGTCACCCGGGGGTGGGGGAGGGGGGGTACATTGACGAACAACCAGAAAAGGGGAACATTGGAATGGAAAATAAATGCTGGGGGATATTGGCAACGGCAGCAGATTTAACAGCAGATTGCGATTGGCTTTTCTTGCTCCTAACTGGAGAGGGTCTGCTAATAGCACCCTTAAATGACCAGCTGTGTCTCATCGGGAATGAGGACATATTACCTGGTGGTTATTGCATAAAAAATGGAAGAAAAACAACAGGAAGAATGCGGCGATAAATGGTAGGAAATTCTGCCAGCCTGAGTGGTTAGCGTTCACTGGGAGAAGGTTTGGTGAGCCCTGATTGGTTGGATGGCGCTCGTGCTCTGTGTGAGGCACTGAGGGACAGACGGAGAAGAAGGGTGCATCTGTTCTGGGCCCTTGCAGCTGACACACACACGCACGCACAAACATGCACACACACACACACACCAGTGTTTTGTCACGGGGTAACAGCTGGCAATTGTTTAAGTTTACACCACTGGCAGAATCAGTAACACTTGTGAAAGAAGAATTGCATTGAATTTTATTTGTTAAAATCGTACCAGACACATGGCGGTGAAGTGACAATGCCAAAGAACAGAGATCATTAACGATTCTTCAGATAACAGATCGTTGACCCCTTTCGATGAAATCATACTTTGAGTGACGCTAGATATAGCACCACATGAGAAATGTTCACAAAAATAACCCGCAATGGAGCTGTACAGAAATGCATTCCTGCTTTTATGAATTGGTTGCAGTCTCTCTTTTGTTTACAGTTTTATACAGTGTGGGCAGTCGTTTTTTATAACAACACCAATGGCTACATTGTTATTTTTTTGTAATTACCTTTAGTTTTTTTTTAGACCTTTAAGCTCTTTGCCCCATTTTTACTTAAGTTATATTAATTGAGAAGTTACTATGGCGATTGTTCTCCCCCCAGTAGTGACAGGGTAAGAAGCACATTATTAAAGTGATTAAGTGCGAAAGTCTTAGTCTTGATTTGCTCTATCCACCAGGCATCTCGGGCGGACGACTGGGGAGGTTGTCCTGTCCCTGGGGTGGGGGCCAGGAGAGGGCCCAGATGGGAGGGGCTGTGCATCATGGAGGCCCAGTTGAAGTAACTTTGTCCTAGGTCCAGGAATTAAGCTTGGCAGGAACTGCTGTCTACCCTGTGCTCATAACTGGGGCAGAAAGAGTCATTAGCTACATGAAACATACATCCCATCCCAATACTGTCTCCAGTGTCCCACTTTAGAGGCACTCGACTCTAAAGATAAGGCCCGGGGAGACGGCAGGAGTATTTATGAACGGCAGGGCCCCTGGTTTGCCATTCTGTTAGTGGAAAAATCAGCCTAGGGAAGTAGGGGACGTTACAAACGCCTCAGGATCCAATCCGCTTAAAGGACGGAGTTTGGGTAGATAAACAGACTGTTAAAACAAAGATGGCGCAAGACTTGTTGTTGAGGTGGAGAGGTACGTCGAGCTCTTTGACTCCAGCATGCTTCCATGCAAGGTCATCATAACATGCTCTGAAAATCCCCCCAGAACACAACGATTCAATAACACGGACAGTCAATCGTAAATAGTATTTTAGATTTACTAAGTAGCCACACCACATGCGTGATCATTCAGTATTATTTTCAGGGATATAGCTAAAACCCTTAATATGCATTTCTTGGAATAGAATACATTGGTGCTACAATTTATTCGGCAACATAATCTGATTAAGACAGAATATTCTTTTTCAACCGACAGCGAGCAACGTTTTTGCACATTTTTGCTCTCAGTGGTCGTTGAATTTACAGAGAATGAAAACGAGCATGCTACAACCACAGTGCCTATTTCCCAGTAACAGAGCTTGGATTGGTTCCCTCCGTTTTCAATAGAGTATGTTAATCATGCTAACTTTCAGTTCCAAGACCAAAAAAAGAAAGAAGCAAACCAGGCAGAGAAAAAAAAAAACCCACAGTTGGAAATAAAGTATGTGGGGTTTTAGATCCACATACAAGCAGAACACTGTCTTGAATGAAAAATCGCCTTTCAGCAAGTCCAGGTCCACTGCAGAATACCTAAAACATTCACACAAAAGTAGTCCGTCAATGGAAGCTGACATAGTTCCAGGAAACGGGGCTGTCTCCATGCCTACAGGTCTCTCTTTGTTGCTCCCCCTCTTTCACCCCCTGCCAGTCCTGCGTCGGCTGTGGGCTAGAGTTGGGCGGGGCAGAACTCAGCCTTTGGCGTGGGAAGTGAGCCCGCGATGTCCCAGGAAGCTGAGGGAGAATGACGGAATGCGTAGAAGCCTCCGTTGCAGCGAACGCTCTCAGCCAAAGACGGAAGGAAAATCCGCGGTCGGAATGCAAATGCAGACACGCCGTTGCCGCACAACTCTTGTGAATGAGCTTGGAGAGTGGGGTGGGGGCTGGGGGAGGGGCCCTGCACCCATTTTCAGCTTTCAGACATTGAACAGCAAAATATGGAAAGTGAAAAACAAACAAGTGTTACAGGTAACCGTTAGTCCAGTTCTCTGCTGATTTTCTAAAGGTATACAGCCTAATCCTATTTTTTTTTTTAAAGTAGCGTTATCCATAAGCACACTCCCGAGATGATGAGCTAAGGGGCCTGGTGGTCTTTCCCCGGGGGTTTAATTTAATTTGTGTTCATCCACTGTTTCTGTACTTTGACCCATCACATCAGAGAATATGGGATTTAGCATTCCTGAACTGCTTAGGAAAAAAGGGGCCCTACTGGCAGGAGAACTGAAACGGTAAACCTGCTTTACCTCATTAAAGCTTATAAAGGCTTGATTTCAGAACAGAAACTTGCAAGAAGAAAAGCAAAAAAAAAAATTAACAATATGCTCAGATCACATTGCCTGTAGTCAGAACAATTGTTCAATGACATTAAAGCATGCGCACGATTGCAGGTATAGGAGGGTTCACTTACATAGGCCTTTGAGTACAAAAGACCGACATATTAACTGCTTATTACTACCAGGCTGTAGCCTTGACTGCATTCACCAGGATTGTTTTGAATGGCAAAGTTGTAGTATTCAACTACAGAATAAAAAAGGAGCTTAAAACTTTAAATAGGCTTGGGGAAATAGCTTGTAATTACAAAAATGCAGATCCCCAAATTCCTAACCTGACCACTAATTTTCTATAATGAAGGAATACAGACACCAAAACAGGACCTGACTGACGATTTATTCTGATATTATATATATTACATTGATAGAAACCATGTATAAAATGTCCTGTTCCAAAACAAAGGCACACAAAGTCTTAGTTCACAATCTGGGTTTTTGTGCTGAGCATTCTCTATATAAAAACAAACGTTACCGAGATTAAAATTCAGAACAGCAAGACTAACATGCAAAAACGAACACAGCTGTGTGATGCGGTGAGGTGGGGGGGGGTGTGGGTGTTCTAGTAGTATGTCTCCCTTTCCACCCAACCTAAGGGAAGAGTAAGAGAAAAATTTTAGAATGTCAATTTTTCTTCTTGGGCCTGCATGGATCAAAGCAAGATTGTAGCATCTCCCGCTAATACCCAAAGGGAGAATGAATTATCAAGTGATTTGCCATCTCTTAAGTGCAGCAGTTAAGAGGTGTAAACAAACAACATGAACACAATTACTTTTAAGTGCCTTGCTGCTCATAATTTAACTGCTCAAAGAAAGCAATGAAAACATTCCGTCTCACCTCCTGGGCTGCGTCGAAGAATCAGTTTTCTGATTTCATCATAAATAAAGATAAGAAGGGAGTACGGGAAAGCGCAGAACCACCAGTTGGGTCTGTGAAGAAAATAAGGGCAGGCAGTTGACAAAAAGAACATAGATACGCATAGCAGATATATAACAGATATACCACCAGCAGTTCAGACTAGGAAATCCATCTGAAGCTAAGCAGGTTTGGTTCTGGCCAGTACTTGGATGGGAGACCAATAAGGAAAGTGGGTTGCTGCTGAAAGAGGTTTATTCTTGTGGTCAACAGGGGTGTCCATCTTGAGGCCTGAATGTATCCCAATGTCTCAGAACAGTGATGTGGACGCTGTTCTGTAAAAATGGTGCTGTCCTTGAGACGAGCGATAAAACTGAGGTCCTGACTTTGAGGTCATAAAAGTTCCCTGGGTATCCTCTGAAAGAGTAGAGGAAGTACTCATGTGTTCTGGCTAAAATTGCCAACTGTGGCCCTTTTGAATCTGATCTCCTGTATCTAATTGGTGAATTCTCTCCATCACCTTCACCACCTTAGCTGGTGGATATACCGGTGCAGAATGCCTGCTGTTGAATCATCCCACCTGGGTGCTAAATAGTGGTGGTGGTTGAAGTGGCTGTAAAGTGCTTTGGGCATCTTGAAAAGTGCTATATTAATCATTCATACATATAAAATTGAGCACATCAATAAGCAGCCTTGGCAAGCTTCAAGCTTGGCTTTCAAAGCTGCTTTATAATGACTCAAAACACTTGGATACGTCTTCCACAGGTTTACAGGACACTCAAAGCATAAATAAGAACCTACTTAAGGGGGTACATTCTGAGGGCGATGTCCATTCCGGGGCAGTAGGAGAGGAAGGCAGCCAGGGCAGTTTCCTCAAAGAGTCCGAAGATGAGGATCTTGTTCCTGAAAAGCACAGGTGTTGTTTCAGAGTAGGAAGATACTAGTCCCTCTCTGCCATTGTAGGGTTTACTTTCCTAAGAACACTGCTTACTTCATGCCCTGCTGGAAGACTGAATTCCTCCTAGTCTTACAGATGATCAGGTCAGCCCATTGCACAATGACAATGCTGGTAAAGAAGGCTGTGTGGCAGGTGAACTCCACAATCTTTCTTTGTTCATAGGTCTGAAAGGAAACAAAAAGGACAATGAAACCTCTTGCTGTCTCTACTGCTACTTGTGTTATGAAGAACTCCATAGCCCTTTACTAACCCATTGCTGGCCATAACTGTCCTCCAGATCGTTCAAATACTTATCATCCCATTTAACGCGGATTCCCAAGAGCGTAGAGGGCAAGAACCCGTTCTCAGCAAGGATGACGAAGTAGGCGAAGAAACCAGCCAGAGCCTGAATCATACCTGGAAAGACAAATATTAAACAACATGACACTGCAGCTTTAACATTACCCACAGCCCACTGGAGATTCTATAAACACTTATCACTTGTCAACTGATACAGACATATACACTTAACATGACATCTCAAAACCACAGAGTTCTGAAAAAGGTTCATTTTAAAGATGTACCACCTTAAGATGTATGGGACAAAACGTCCAGCTGTGCTTGAGGGAAGTACTTACCGATCTGACCATAGGCTATACTGATAAGTCGCTCATTGACAAGCTTGTCTGTTTTGGGGTTTCTAGGCTGTCTCTTCATGATGTCACTTTCAGCAGCCTCATAGGCCAGGGAGATGGCAGGAACCTTACATGATGAAAAGACGGACATACAACCTCATGACAACATAATCTCCACCAAAAAATCTCAGCTAAAGGTAGGGAGCTTGAAGAGTCGGTATCCTCACCATGTCAGTACCCAAGTCGATACAGAGGATGGTGACTGTTCCGAGAGGCAGAGGGATATTAGCGATGATGAAGAGGAGGAAGGGAGTTATCTCAGGGATGTTGCTGGTCAGGGTATAGGCGATGGACTTCTTCAGGTTATCAAAGATCAGACGACCTGAAGGTGACAAAAAGCAACTGCTGTAGTGTGGAAGCTCCATGTTAGAAATGTCCTCCCTGGTCGACTGGATCTGGTTATACCTTCTTCAACTCCAGTGACAATAGAGGCAAAGTTATCGTCAAGGAGGATCATGTCCGCTGCTTGTTTGGAGACATCAGAGCCAGCAATGCCCATAGCTACACCGATGTCGGCTTTCTTCAGCGCGGGGGAGTCGTTCACACCATCTCCTGTCACGGCTACAATAGCACCCTGTTGTACAGGAAGGCCTGGTGACTATTTTGTTCTTGAGTTATAGCAGTTATCGAAATTTAAGCTTCAGTATTTCAATGCCATTTCAAATCAGAGCACCTGTCTCTGGCAGCCCTCTACAATGATCAGCTTCTGCTGTGGAGAGGTTCTCGCGAACACTATCTCAGTGTGATACTTCAGGATGTCATCCAGCTGTTCAGCAGTCAGATCCTTCAGGTCACCTCCATGAACAACACAGGCTTTTGCATCTCTAGAGACGAATACATTGAAGTAAAATGCAAAATGAGCTACATCTCATGTCTTCCCTAGAATTAATTAGTTAATTTTGTACAATAAAATTAATTTCTGAAATCCTAGTAGTGACTGTAGTAATAGAAAGTAATTTTAGACAAGAACTCTTAGATACAAAATATCAAATTACCTAGGGTTGACCTCATGAATGGGGATGTTCAGACGAGCAGCAATATCCTCAACAGTCTCGTTGCCCTCTGAAATGATACCTACACCCTTAGCGATGGCCTTTGCTGTGATTGGATGATCACCAGTGACCATGATAACCTAAGTAAGGGTTGAAAGTTATTTATATCAGGGTTGGGTGTTGCTTTCATCAGTCCTGTAATGGTAAATCGATCCAAAAAAACCTCACGTGTACACACCTTGATTCCAGCGCTTCTGCACTTGCCCACAGCATCAGGTACAGCAGCACGGGGAGGATCGATCATGGACATGAGGCCAACAAAACATAGGTTCTCAGTGGTGAAGTTCACATCATCAGTGTCAAACTGGAAGCCCTCAGGGAACTGGTCATCAGGAAGGAAAAAATGGCAAAATCCTGCAAATAAAAAGTGAAAATGAATATATGTGCCTGTGACTCTGACCAGAAGTAGTTAAAAGATGGATAGATAAAACAAATGCTAAGAGGATCAAGGCCCATCAGCATCAGCTACTTCTGAATATTCATCATGATTATTTTATACTATCTGTCCCTCTTAAGACAAAGCAGTAACTAATGAGTCCTGGTGATTCAAATAAGTGAAATATGTTGTTACCTAACACTCTCTCTCCAAGGCCACCCAGTTCCAGATAAGCGTTCTGAAAGGCATCCTTCATCTCATCATCAAGTGGCTGCTCCTTGCCCTGAATCATGATGCTGGAGCAACGATCTAGGATCCTCTCCGGGGCTCCCTTCATCACTAGGATGTGTTTAGGCTCAGAAGTGCTGAGGTTCTTATGGATGGATAGCTATTTGAAGAACAAACAGCTTAAAAACCTTCTTCTGAAACAGTGTATCATATTAATTGGAGTCACCTTCAGAAGGGTATGGCCTTTATACCTGGTATTTATTTGTCGAGTTGAAGGGAATTTCTGCGATCTTAGCATACTTGTCTCTCATCTCCTTCACCGACCCACAGCACAGCTCAATACACTTCAGCAGAGCAGACTCTGAGGCGTCGCCGGCAACATCTCTCTGTGATGGAGAAACAAGAAAATCAAAGTGTCACATGTCTGTCTTCAGCTGTCGAGGAAATACGAGCAAATGACTGGCGTGAAGGGGAGGCATTATTAAATTACGTCAAATTTCCTAGAAATCGTCACTATGGGCTTGCGCCTGATCACCCAAGAGGTTGTCTAATTTCTGGCAGAAGAAGAATTAGAAACTGGAGTGTGACACTCCGAATAAATTCCTGCAATCTGAAAGAGCAAGTGACCTACTTACATAAAACTATTTCCGAATATGCCCCAGTTTAACAATAGGCCAAGTTTATCCTGGATTTGTTTATCACTTCGGAGTTTATCCCACAATGCAGGAATAAATCACTGCCTGAGAATACTAAAGTTTAATGCCCTATTACTAAAACACGGTCACAATAATGAAGGGTCTCAAACTAACGTGCAAAAACCCAAAGATGGCTGATGGAACAACTTTCACCCATATGTACCAGTTTTTTTATAAAAATGTTCATTAAGAGTTAAATCTGAGCATTGCATTCATGTTCTTATGCACATGACTAAATGGGAACAAATACCTTCAGGATAGGCACATCGGTCTGCTCAGCAAGGAAGACCGCACGGTTACACAGGCCAGCGATGCGCGCCAGCGCCGTCCACGTAGCCGAGCTCCTGTCAAAAGAGGTTCCACTCTGGTTCTCCGTGGTGTCGGCCTCATGGATCTGATTATCGAACCACATGTGAGCCACAGTCATGCGGTTCTGGGTCAGGGTGCCTGTCTTGTCCGAGCAGATGGTGGAGGTGGAGCCCAGGGTCTCCACGGCTTCCAGGTTCTTCACCAGGCAGTTCTTCTTAGCCATGCGCTTAGCAGTCAGGGTCAAGCACACCTGTGAAGGTCCAGACCAGGAGATTTAAGACTGTCAGAGGTAACAGCTAAGTGTACATACATGAGGTACTTTAGCTTCTTAACTGAATACAGGCATCGGTATCAGTTGCAAACCAACTACGGCTGACTTAACACAAACAAGTTTGACCCAATTTCCAGGATGATATTTCTACTCACTGTGACTGTAGCCAGAAGACCTTCAGGTACATTGGCCACAATGATTCCGATGAGGAAGATAACAGCTTCCAGCCAAGAGTAGCCCAAAATAAGAGACAGGACGAAGAAAGAGACGCCCAGGAAGACAGCAACACCCGTGATGATGTGGATGAAGTGCTCGATCTCGAGAGAAATCGGGGTGCGCCCAACCTCCAAACCAGAGGCAAGAGTGGCGATGCGCCCCATCACGGTACGGTCCCCCGTATTGATTACTATGCCACGGGCAGTGCCTGAAATAAAATATTGAATAAATGTGTTATACTATTATTCCTTTAGAAATCTGAAATTAAAGTAATGTAAGACACAGCAAATATAAGAATTAAGACAGAAAACATGAACTTCCTGCAATTTCTTTTAATAAAATATCTATATATTGAATTTTTTTATTTAAAATTGCCTATGGAACAAAAAGCGCTAACATTCTGCAGAAAAAACTTATGACAGGACTTGCTACAGATGGGCAGTTGAAAGAGCCTACCTTCTACACAGTTGGTGGAAAAGAAGGCGATGTTCCTGGTCTCCAGGGGGTTTTCGTTGGAGAAGTCAGGAGAACGAGTCTGTGGTTCAGATTCACCGGTGAGGGAGGAGTTGTCCACCTGTGAACGAATAGTCATAAAATCAGAAAACCTGGCTACATGTCACAATCACAAATCAAAGTCTGCATTGGGTAGGAAGAAGCTGATCAAGTCACCTTGCAGCCATGAGCAGAAATGATCCGCAGATCAGCAGGAATCCTGTCTCCTCCCTTAACTTCTACCAGATCTCCAACCACCACGTCTTCTGCATTGACGCTCTTTTTCTCACCGTCTCGTATAACCAGTGCTTGCTGAGAGACAACACAGCATCTGTGCTCACTGGCTCTTCATATCATAGGTGACAGAACATAAAAAAAAAGGTTTAAGAACTCATACCTGTGGGACCAAGTTCTTGAAAGAGTCCATGATCTTGGAGCTCTTGGCCTCTTGGTAGTACGAGAAACAACCAGTGATGACGACGACAGCAGAGAGCACAACTCCCAAGTATAACTGTTCAGAGAAGGAAGGGAGAGATTTAGATGACATTAGAAGGCAGAAAGTCAGCAGAAATAGCAGGAACTTGGTGGTAACGTGTTTTCTTACGTTGTCTTTGGCTGGCTCATCTTCCATTGCTGCCTGAATACCATAGGCCAGGAAGCAGAGGACGGCCCCAGTCCACAGCAGCATGGAGAACCCACCAAACATCTGTTTGCAGAACTTGACCCATTCTGGAGTGGTCGGTGGAGGTGTGAGGGCATTCGGGCCATCGCGGGCCAGGATCTCTGCAGCTCGTGTGTTAGCAAGGCCCTGGAAATCCGAGACAAAGAAAAAGAAAAAAAAACATCTGTTCATTATACAAGCAAACAAAAAAAATCACTTGAGCAAGTCTAAAAAATAAAATAAATCATCTATGTGCTTTTTGTTGCTAGGCAATTAACTAGGTAAGAGCACAAGAAAGATAAGAGCATGCAGCTGGTCTCTGAAGGAATTATCTGAGGAAAACTAATCTCCAAGTAGGAATTTGACAACATGGTTAGAGGCTCTATTCAATTGTGCCAGATTTTACCGTCTTATAAGGCTGCAGTTGCACAGATGCCAGGAAGTAAAGCTCGCACTATGCTGACAGACAGAAATATTTCAGCATTCTGACTGACAAGGGTGTCTATCCTCATTCAGACCCATTTTCAACAAGTCAAGTTCACAGAAGGTTACCGGCTAAATCCCTGTAATTGTTCTGTTCTCAGTGCAGTTCCTTAAAGAACACTGTGTACGATATGAAAAGAAAAAAAAAACACCCAAGGGCAATTTGGAAAGGTTTCTGGGAGTGGTTTTTGATTCCAGACTTCATCAGCTTATGCCCACACTTGACTGGGAACTCACCCTGCTGAGATCAGTGCTGTATTTGCGATGTAGTTCATCAAGAGTCAGTTTGTGATCATCCTGTAGATGGGATTATAGTGGTGAATTAAACAAAGTGAAAAGAAACCTTAAATCGCAAATACATGAGGATCAATAAACTTGGGTCCCCATCATATACTGAAACTCTTGCTGCTCACCAAATCCACTTCCTTCTTCAGCTCATCCATATCCTTCTCTTTCTTCTTCGGTTTGCCCTTCTTCTTGCCCCCCTGCTCAGATGTTGCCGCCAGTTCATACTGATCCCGGCCATCCTGAGGGAAAACAGGGGAAGACCATCAGGAACAAGGGTCTTCGCCCAAATCGTAGGAATTCCTGCTTGAGTTTGCTTCTCAATGCTACATGCTATAGTGGAATGACAGCACACTGAAATATACATTAAAAAGTACATTAATATGATGCATTAAAATAGAGAGCAATAACATCTGGATTTTTTCCAATGTCAACATCAGAAAACTTAACACTGCTCCTCAAGCTACTGCCAGACCTATAAATTACAGGGGAAATGAAAGATGCATAAAATGTTTTTTTTTTTTCTTAAATCCAAGAGCATTCAGTACTTGAGGCAAGTGCAATGTTGTTTATTACTTTAAGTCACTCGCTGGAATGAGGAGAGTACCAGATCCAATGACTTTCCGATGTGGAATCTCTCTCACCTAAACATAATATCGTATGCTATTATTTCTGGCTTGATTGCGACACTGATATTTCCTGCATCGTCTTGCTATCACTAAATTAATAACCATTAAGTCATTGTTTTGATCTGCGCTCAGTGAAGCCAAGAGATCAGCTTTGGCGGTGATAGATGAGTTTCATGAAATATTTAAGAAGCAAGCTAAGGCAAGACTGAAGAAATGCCATTTCAGAACATACATGTCTAACCCTAACTCTACCTCACAAATTACCATGTTCTTTTGCGGTTCCATTTTACACTAGATAAAGTAACCAGGTCAGTTTATCAGCAGATGAATAAAATTAATATATAATCAGTAGCAGTCCCCTCATCTTATAAAATATTAACTATCCTGTTTCCATTGAAAGCCATTTTGGCTGACATTTGCCTTCTTACTGTTTATTATTAAAATGTGCAGAAGAGAAATACATGTTGAAAGATGGATAGCGTAACACATCACTGTTATACTGTTACATGGTTATCATCGAGTATGTCCGACAGGTCAATAAACAGCAATGCAGAGCAGCCAAGATCTTGGGAAGTATTTGGGGTCTTGCTATTGAACCTCTGTGTGAAATACATAACTGAAAGGCGTCAGTAAAATCCCGTACAGAAAGAATATAATGCCTTAATTGTCATTATACACAGCTGCAACAAAAACGATGCGTATTATCTGAGTCACAGCTTGTGGCAAAAGGTGTCTGTGAGTGTACAAGGACTACATATACATTTACTTCAGTTTATGTAACAATATCAACCAACAGTTTTAATTTCATGAACATAAAGAACACAAGCAACGGAACAATAGGTATAATCTGAGACGTACAAATGATCTACACAACAGAAATGTCCAAAAGCAGTTGCAGGGAATTTAACCTGTAAAGAATTAATTATAATAGTTCCTAAAACAGAGGCTGCAGCCTGTGGCTGAATTATAAAATTCCCAAATAAAGCTTTTTGCGTATCCACCCGCGTGTTTGTGGAAGACAAGCCCTGGAGTCTCACGCCTCTCACCGAATTTCAAATGGAATTTCACTGACTTCTCAAAGTACCCAGAGAAGATACGTTGCTTGCCCGCTCCCCCCACCTTTTTTCCATCGAGTATAATATAATGCCACGAAATGGACTTTTATAGAGCTCAACCACCAGGGGGTCGAGGCCTCAGTGTATGGGGGGGGGGGGGGTCTCTTTAGTTATAATGTATAACGGGTCATTTGTCATGCTACAGTATGAAATTATTTCAATTCTATAGGGTTTAATTACCAAACACCAATCATACAGTGTTTAAGAAAAAACTATAAGTTGCCACAGCTCCTCTTGGGAGCCACAATCAGCATTCACAGATGAATATCCTATGTGTGTGTAGGCCTTTTGTGATGAAATTTGTTTCCAGGCCACTGCTCTGGGCTTTGCACATTTCTGCGAGCGATCACAACCTTCACACACCAAGAACACACTGTTCTTACGAGATTACCAAATAAATCCCTTCTGAGGAGGCAACAGGAACCAGAAACAAAGCGGAGCCAAGGAGTTAATATGACCTGTATGTTCCCCACCACAAACGCTTTAGATAACGCGTCTAAAAAGACATTGTTCGGGTTTTATGTGTGTGTACTTTAAATACAAATCTGCCCAGTTACGCATCTCCCTCTCATGTTCCTTATAAATAAAATTGTTGATTGAAGTAACCGTAGATGCTCTCCTCTCTCTCTCTCTCTCTCATACGCGCTCGCACACACACACACACACACACACACACCTTTCACCACAAGCTATAAAACCACACCCTTGCTATCTAAAGACGTAAGTCAAATGTTTCTCCAACGGTCTGAATGGTGATGAATAAAAACAAAGACTTCTGTGATTTTCACACCTATGAAAAATAATGAGCCAAAGAGAATATCAAATTACAGGAAACTGCCCCAAAGGGGACAAAAATGGCACGACGATTTCCGCAACATTCAAATACAGAGCTGGTGAGATGCAAGGCAAGGCTTGGAATCACAGCATGGCATCATGTGACCAGACCTTCTCCAATGGCATCGCAGGGGATGTTTAAGGTATGATAATCTGAACAAGTGCATTCTCATACTCTGGGTTTTGTCAAATGCCAAAAATATTTAAAGAGCAGTACAGCAAGCAAAGTATGGTAGGCTTTGATTTTCTGCTACAAAGAACAGGAGTGTGAGTGAGCAGAAACCCCCCCATACACACCCAGAGATGTCAAGTGGAAAGAATGCCAAATCCCAAAGGAGAAAATGATGGCCTCAGTTGTGGTTGGGTGGGGCGGGGGGGGTCTAAAGGCCTGGCTTTCATACAAACCTGTTACTAGTGCTGTGGTGGACACCCCTCAATAAATAAGAGCTTCACAGAGTTGACAGCTACTCTGTTATGGGCAGATGCTACGCTAGGCGACTGCCAAGATTGTTCATGACGATGACTGCCTTTACGGCTTCCTTCAGTCAGCATTATTCCATAAATATAAATATAAACTTGTGAGATTTACAGCTGTCCCCCATCCAATGGCTTCTGGAGACCACACCCCTGTCTACCAAAACCGATACCATAAGCCCCAAAGGCTGGACTGCAGAAAATGCAGAACTTCACATAACGGCATCAGAGGCAAAGCTACCGAAACACAAGATTCTGGCTATTCAAATAGCAGGCGTGCTGTTTCCATCCATTGACAGGGAGCAGGAAACTTCAGCTTCACTGAAACACTATACAAATATTGCAGGCTTTGGCAATTATTTTGCATAGAAGTCACTCTGACTACCAGTGTATATTTAGGGTAATTCATTTATTTTGGTAGATAGTTATTTAATTCATGGCATAGAAATAATGAGAAATATTGGTTCATCGCCAAAATAAGTAGTGTCACACAAGATAACGTATTTAAAATATGTAATATCTACTTCAAATTTAAATCCCGTTTTCTAAATTCAATTAAAGTAATTTCTTGTTTTAAAGCAAACATCTTTAGTGTAAGGCTTCACCGGGCATCAAATAATCCCGAATCAATGTATGGTGTTTTTTGCAAATATGGAATTTTTTGTTTCATACGATGTGTACGAAACATATAGACAAATTCATTGTATTTACAAAACAGTTGAGATACATTTTTTCGTCTTAAAAAAGGAGATCTGACGGCAGGAGAGACCCTGCATTCATTTGGCGAGACAGCAACACCCTGAAACAAAAAGAGCTTCATAGCTGCTTTGCACTGGCCTTTGCTGATATTTTGTAGCCGTATTAATCTCTATTACGAACAACAAGGTGCTTTTCCAATGTTCTATCCGGTATTACTCATTTGCTTTGTATAGGGCATTATATAATCCCACAGGAGGACGCCGTTTTAGTTCTGACACATCATGTCCAGTTTGGACCGGGTTTACGTGAACAAAACGCATTTCATCAAGTGGCGACGGGGCCTCTCCTACAGTGAGGAGTCACACGACAGCGCAGCTATACAGCGGGGAACTTGGCCATACCTACTAACCAAGTCACCCGCCTTCCGCTCCTCTAAGGCTCGGAGGACCGCTGATTGCTCATTTTACCGACGACCAACGTAATTCTGTTTTAGGAAACAAGACGGCAAATTTTTTGACAGCACGGAAAACTTGGCTTCCACTGGCGAAGAAGCTCAACCGCCACTTCAAAGTCGGTGCAGAGAAAAGCAACGTGGATGTTCCCGAAATACAGAAAAATAAACACGAAAAAAATAATAACGACCGGCCCTTATTGTGGTGTGGGCCACCAATCCACGTGGCTCACTGTTTTCTTTCTTTAACATCCACATCAGCAACCCCAACAAATGTAACTGTGCAAGCCAGTGACCGTATAGCAATGCAACAACCACTGACCGTGTAACTGCGTCTAGCATAACATCCAAGGGAACTAACTAGTTAAAAATACAAAAGCACACACACTTACCCCAACCCCCATGTTTCTTTTAATTTAAGTCTTCTTAAAAAATATTATTTAGAAACAAAATGGAAAAAAATCCTTCCAGATCTTTACAGTGCCCCGTCCCTCTGCCGTACCCGACCCACACGTGTCACTTCCACGGCACACACTATTAACTGCTCTTCTCCTTAGTCCGGGGTTCTAATACTTATACGCTGTGTTTATTCGATTGTGACGTCTGCCCCTTTTACCATGGTAACCCTGAAAAGTGGGGAGGAGTCTTTCCCAGCCACGATGGAGCGCGGTCTTCTTCCTCAATATGGAATATTAATGGGAGATTTTCATACAGCGTAAATTTGAACTGGAAACACTCGTCGGTGATGCGGAAAATAAATGCCATATAATGTAGTTTTTCCACAAATATGTGACTAAAAATAAAAACCTTGTACACGTGGATTCTGAGATTTCACAGTTTTGCCGATAAGGGGGTCGAATTCAATGTTTAATGTATTTATTTTAAAAAATCAATAAACACTTTGAGAGTAATTTATTATTATTATTTTTTATTTCCTGTCCCGGATGTTGTCACTGGAGTTGGAACAAGTTAGAACGGTGCAACAGATCCCTCACGATAGTCTCACGCAACAGGGCTCAGTTTTACTTTATTTGCATTTGTTTAACGTTATTTGGTACCAAGAGGTGGTTTCCTGACTGCAAATCCGTTAACTGCCGGTAAACATAATGAATTTCACGATCATTTCTGCCACTAAATTGTGTAAACTGGCAAATGTGCTGATATTTTCTTGTGTTTATAGCGAAGCCGAATCTTTGGTTTCGTTTCCCTTTTTTACACATTTATTTTTAAGCAAAACATAATATTTCCCTCAATCTTTAAGTGCTTATTAGATTCTTCTAAACATTTTGTTTGACGATTGTTTCAAAAGTTACCTTCGTTACGCTGTATAAATATGAATCTTAATATTAAATCTAATATAGGGCACGAAGGTACGTGCAGTTCTCCCGTAATCTCTTTACAAGCTTCGGCACAGTACTCGCAGTTTCTTCACACGGATATAAAACAAAGGCGTACTGAAGGACCGAAAGCAAGAATAACCTTTATGTTCTCCGGAAAGTCACAGTTACCATTAAGACCTAACCGTACCTATAGAATATAGGTAAATGGTATTTAGCCACTACCACGAAATGCTTAGCCGTATTAGAATATAAAATATGTGGTTATTTCATCCTCCTCCCACGCCAAAAAAATAATGAATTGAAAATAATTAATGTGCTGTGAGCTAATGTTTTGGTGCTTACTGGTGGCATATACTGAGGTTTCTTGATTTTTTTTTTATATCCACACCCTATTTAATGTTATTTGTATACGCAATACGATTGAATTAGTTCCATTAATCATATTTACTGCTACTCAAAGCCTGCTGTCTGGTTGTTTATATCACATTAAAATCAGGTGGCCAAAATTATGGGTGGTACCTTTATTTATAATTACACTGCAGATTGCACATTTCCTGAGCTGCAGTACAAAGATTTTCTGTTTAAAGGCCAAAGGTGCTGCTGTTCTTCTAGTAGTAAGTTTCATTCTCCACCCAACCTAAAATAAGAAGAAAAACACAAGTTTTACATGTCGATATGCATAGTATATTTGCGTAAGTGTTCATATTTCACACATGTGTGCATTTAACTTAAATACTCTCACGTATAGCCCACTTTGTGCTTGTTGCAGGATCATCTTTATATCTACATGTCTGTTAGATATATATTTTACAGATTATTTAGAAAATTGGCGTTATAGATTGGAGTGTGATCTGCTTCTCTCTAGTTGCTCATTCTGGATTTGTAGAATGTTCTGGAGAACTTAGAAAATGTTATTTTACCTCCTGGATTGCGCCGCAGAAAGTACCTCCTGATTTCATCGTAAAAGAAGATGAAGAAGGAGTAGGGCAGGGCACAAAACCACCAACAGATCCTGAGGAGGCGAGAGAAACACAACACAAAAATGTACGGCTGTTCGCTTCGAACCTGCAGCCCTGAGCAGTGACATCCCCTGTCACACTGGCTTCAATAAGAAATACAGCCAGTCAAACAGGGTACTACTTACTTGAGTGGATACATTCTGAGTGCGACACCCATTCCAGGGCAATAGGAAAGGAAAGCAGCAAGAGATGTTTCTTCAAAAATTCCAAAGTTAAGGATCCTGTTCCTGAATGTGACAAAGTTGAATGGTATGATGTAAGTGATAGTTGTACTTAAATCTCATGGTCTATAGCTATTTCCAAAGATAAGTTGCCTGACTGATGTCAGCTGCACACTTACCTCATACCCTGTTTAAGAATAGAGTTCTTCCGGGTCTTGCAGATGATCAAGACAGCCCACTGACATTGTACAATGCAGGTAAAGAATGCTGTATGACATGTATGCTCTACAATCTTTCTCTGGTCATAGGTCTGCGATGCAGAAAGACAGTAAAAAAAGAGCAGTTTAATATTATTAAGACATTGATCTCCGCATTCTATGTCTATAACTGACCATCATGGCTTGAAAGAGTTTGGATGTCTGGTTACTGACCCATTGCTGTCCATAAGAGTCTTCCAGGTCATTTATGGTTCTGTCTTCCCAGTTGACACGTAGGCCCAACAGTAAATCTGGCAGAAAGCCATTCTCCCCAAGGATGACACAGTAAGTGAAGAAACCAGCTACTGCCTGGATCATACCTGGAAATAAAAGAAAAGAAAAAGAAAAACCAATGGCAAGATTAAGTGTTTTATATGATTCAGAAGCCATGTAGCAACCCCATGTAACAGTCCAGCAGTTACGTTAATTCCAAGCCATACTATATGGAACTTTTATGTCATCCCATTCTAAATGTTATCAATTCCCATTCACAGTTATCAATATGGCGCTGATCCCTCCTTTGCAACTATAACAGCTGGCATTCTGGGATGGCTTTCCACAAGTTTTTGGACTGTGTCTGCGGGAATTATTCCCCTTTCATCCAGAAGAGCATTTTTGAGGTCAGCCACTGATGTTGAACGTGTAGACTTGGATTGCAATCTCTAAGCATACCAAGACTTTTTGAACCGTTCCATGCTCACAACTTTGTGGGTACAGTTCAGGGAAGGCTCTTTTCTGTTCCAGCATTTGCCCCAGTGCACAAAGCCAGGTCCATAAAGACATGGTTGGGTGAGTTTGGTATGGAAGAACTCTGGCCTCAACCCCACTGAACACCTTTGAGATGAACTAGGACAGAGATTGTGTGCCAGGCTTTCACTTCCAACATCAGTGCCTGACCTCATTTATGCTCTTTTAGATGAATGGGCAAAAACTTCCAAAGACACACCCCAAAATCTTGTGGAAAGCCTTCCCAGAAGAGTGGCAGCTGTTGTAGGTGCTAAGGGGGGAACAATTCCATATTGATATCTATGGATTAATAATGGGATGTCATAAAAGTTCCTGTGGGGGTTGTAATGGCCAAGTGTTAGTGTAGCAAGCCTCTAAAGGGAACAGTGCACCATTTGATCAGATCTTCCACTGAAACTGAATTAGTTTACCCAAATAATAACAGGATCTTACCAATCTGGCCATAGGCCATACTGATGAGTCTCTCATTCACCAACTTATCAGTTTTGGCATTTCTGGGATGTCTCTTCATGATGTCACTCTCGGCATCCTCGTATGCCAGGGAGATGGCAGGAATCTTACAGGTAGCAAAGGTGTGCCAGTATTAGTTTTTGGAAACCTGCAAGCCTGCTGTGAATCCTCAAAGGTTTTTTTTCCAAACTGAGCTGTCCTCATACTTACCATGTCAGTGCCTAAATCAATGCAGAGGATGGTGACAGTCCCCAGGGCCAAAGGAACATTTGCAACAACAAACATTAGGAAGGGGGTGATTTCTGGGATGTTACTGGTGAGGGTGTAAGCGATGGATTTCTTCAAATTGTCAAAGATCAGGCGGCCTGATGAGAGAAAAGGCAAATGATCTAAATCTATAGCTTATTACATCTTAATGAAAGGAAACTCTTGGATCCTTCCATGTTATACCTTCTTCTACTCCAGTTACAATGGAAGCAAAATTATCATCCATGAGGATCATGTCAGCTGCTTGCTTGGAGACGTCAGAGCCAGCAATGCCCATAGCTACACCAATGTCGGCTTTCTTCAGCGCAGGGGAGTCGTTCACACCATCTCCTGTCACGGCTACAATAGCACCCTGTAGGATAGTAGGGAGACCTTTCAGCTTTCTGCTTTAATTTCTAGGTTTGTTCTTCTTAGTTGAAACTGAGAAGCTTGAATTAGGATGAAATAGGAGTGCATAATGTAAAATTAAGGGTATAAATGAATGCAAGACTATGCTTTTAAGTAATACAAGACTTTAATAATAAGATAAATGGCAAAGTATGATACCTGTCTCTGGCAGCCTTCGACAATGATCAGCTTCTGCTGTGGAGAGGTTCTGGCAAACACTATCTCAGTGTGATGCTCCAGGATGTCATCCAGCTGCTCTGGGGTCATGCTTTTCAGCTCTGCACCATGAACTACACAAGCTTTTGCTTCTCTGTGGACAAAAAATAAAGGAGAGTCATTATATTATGTTATTGTGGTGCTTCAAGCTGTTTTTTTTAAAAAAAACCTAAAAAAAAACACCCAAAATGCCTAAAAGCTGTAGTCACTATGACCAGTATGGTCCTATACCTGGAATTGACTTCACTAACTGGAATGTTCAGACGAGCAGCAATATCCTCAACAGTCTCGTTGCCCTCGGAAATAATACCCACACCTCTTGCAATGGCCTTGGCAGTAATGGGATGATCACCCGTTACCATGATAACCTAAAAGTGAGACAGAGATAAGAATTAGAAATTATTGGCACCAGGACAGTTGACTTCGTCAATCATGTAACAGGAATTTGGACAGAAGAACCCTAAGTAGACACGTACCTTGATTCCAGCGCTCCTGCATTTGCTTACGGCATCCGGCACTGCAGCGCGGGGAGGATCGATCATGGACATGAGGCCAACAAAGCACAGGTTCTCCGTGGGAAAGTTCATGCTTTCAGAATCAAAATGAAAGCCCTCAGTAAACTGGTCATCAGGAAGCAAATAATGGCAGAATCCTGCAAGCAAAATGTTAGAAAGAATTAGAATAAGTACAAAAAGTTTTGAATGGTGTGTGAGTGCCCTGCCATGGGCGGGCGCCCCATCCTGGGTTGTTCTCTGCCTTGCACCTGTAGCCTCCAGGGTAGGCTCCAGGCCCCTTGTGACCCTAAATAGGACGAGCGGTTACAGAAA